ATCCCCGTGGTCATGTGATCAACATTCACCAGTATTTATTTACAATGGTTGCAGTATCTAGGGTTATGTGATCACTATTTGCAATTCTCACAGTCGGCTTCTGACAAGCAAAGTCAGTGTGGAAGCTGGATTCTCTTAACACCTATGTGATTTAACTTAACAATTGAAGTGATTCACTTAACAACCATGGGAAAAAAGGTCAAAAAATTGGGCTCAACTCATTTAACAACTACCTTGCTCAGTAATGGAAATTTTGGTCCCATTGGGGTTTTAAGTTGAGAGCTATGTCTTGGCATCTCATACAAGCAACGTACAAATATATAGGTTACAGTATTGTATGATGACTTCATCACATGCTTTATCATTAGTATCCCTGCAAGTGACCATGGGTTGTGGGAAGCATGGAGAAGGATGCTGGGTAGATTGATGAAGGAAAGAAGCTGTGGCTGAGGAACAAAGTCACAGAGGAGAATGCTGCAAAAACGAGAATAAGGGAAATACCGTATATCAAATAATGGGTATATGCTCTGAAGGAAAATAACAATGGTAAGGAAGGTGGCAGAGAAAATGCTGAATGATTTTGATGAAAAAAATGCTATGGAAGTGAATAAAAAGAACTAAAAGAATGAATGGAATTAAAAAGAAAAATAATCTGGAAGGAACAAAAATAGAAGAATGCTGAGTTAAATGTTTTGATGATTTATACGGGACTAAGGATACTATGTCAAAAAGTAGAATTGAAAAGAATGCTATAAATGGCAGTGTTCAAGAAAAATTGACGAAGAGGAAACCATAAATATGATGAGTGTATTGGAAAAAAATGATAAAACTCCAGATGTAGATGGCTTATGATTATGATTTATTTATGGAGTGGCTCTGAGAGTTGTATGGCATGTCTGTAAAATTGCACCTTTGCAGTATGAGAATTAAAAGAATACAATCATTGTTCCCTATGCAAATGAAAAAGTTGCAAGAAGGAACACATATACTACAATGGTTTATTGTTAAGCAAAATTCTGATTGAAAGGGTACAGGAGGTGACAGTGAGCTGAATTTGGGAAGTGCGTTTCCATTCCTTCATAAAGTTCACCTTCCTAAAGTTCTCAAAGGAAGTTCATTGGACATCAGTTGATTCTGAGCAGGTTTTTTTTTTCAAACTCGGCAACTTTAAGATGCATGTTGGCTGGGGAATTCTGGGAGTTGAAGTCGACATATCTTAAAGTTACCAAGATTGAGAATCACTGGCCTAGGCCAGGGATAGGCAACCTTGAATCTTTTATGACTCATGGACTTCAACTCCCAGAATTCCTGAGCCATAAAAGAGCCAAGGTTGCCTACCTCTGGCCTAGGCAAAGGGAGCTGAAGCATTTTTTAAAAGTCCAGAACAATATTTAGAAGAGTCTCAGGCAAACATCTCACTGATTCACTGAATGTAACAACAGGAGGAGGGATAAAAGAATCAGACATTTTAAAGAAATAAAAAGTAGTTTTTATGGTGGAGGATCAGATTCTCCATTGCAAAAGAAACTACTGGAGATGCAGAAAAGCGTGGAAGGAAATTAGGTGACTTGCTGTTAAGCTTGATTTTCTTAGGGCCTCCTTCCAATACAACTTTGTGGGATAGCTTGCAAGAGTGTGTGATTGTCAACAATCAATGCACTGATGGTGTTACCCAGTTTGGTAATGAAACGTCTGCAAGAAAATAATCAAACTCAGAGAGCATCAAGGAACTCACTGTCAAAAATGTCTTGAAGAAGCCAAAGCAGAGTTTTCTCCATATGGGTTAACACTCAGCCCCTGAAGAGGTAAGAGTTTAAAACTCTATCTCCTTTAAAAATAGATGCCTATGTGCTTAGCCACAAAAAATGAATGGAGTTGTGGAACTGTAGAAATGAGTTTGCTGGGACTTATAGTGGACTTGCCATAATCACTGGCCAATAGGTTCTCACCTCAATAGCTCTTCTTCAGTTCAAATGAAACCTTCAGGAGAAACTATTGAACTTATCTTTTCTCACACACATCATAATCAGGCAATTATATCTTTGCTTGGAGGTCTTCAACATGCCCTTAAATTGTTTCCATCCTGCTTTTTGTTTTGATTTTTAGGGAGGATTCTTTACGAAGAAATACATCATCACAAGCAAAATAAATCTTCTCATACACATTTCCTTAAGAGAGGGAAAGGAGACTAGCCTCTTTCATAGCTTACACTACACTTTGGCTTAAAAAAAACAAAACCTTGGGCTTAAGTTTTTTTAAGCTAAAAAAATTTAAAGGTGCCAGTCAAAACACAGGTAATTTTGCAAACTTGCATAAAAACACCTTGAATTAAATGATAAACGTCTGCCGTCCTTTCACCTGATGGGGAAATAAAACAATACAAAGACTTCCCACTCTCGCTCTCTCCCTTCACACACCAAGTCCAAAGCAGGAACTTAAAAAGAGAGAGTTTCAGGGAGTTATTTTTAAAACGCCGTGCAGGGACTGTGTGAATAACTCAGTCTTTGTTGTCCTGAAGGTGAGCCTTCTTTGGACTCCCCCTTTTTGCTCAGAAAAGGGGGGGGGACAGTTTCACAATGGAGGTGGAGGCTGGCAGACAGTAATTAGTTAACCCCATCCTTCTGCCTGAATCCTACTCCTCCTTCCTTTCTCCCCTCCCAGAACCTGTGGTTAAGAAGTTGCATGAAATCATCAACAGGTTCCTTAAAAAAAAAAGAAAAAGAAAGAAAAAAATTGATCATGGGGAGAGAGGGAGGCTTTTAAACTGAGCCACGTTTTCCTGCTGCATGGGGCCACAGAAATATATATAAACGAGGCTTAAATGAGCTGAGGTCCTGTTTGCAAGCTGCTACTCCCGGGCTATCTGATTGCCTTTCCAGCTTCTTAAAGAGTTGTAACGCCCGCCGGGTGCGATGACCAAATTTCTCTGCTGCACGCTGCTGGTAAGTCTTTGCCTCAAGGCTAACGGTTGTACTTTCCAAAGCAACGAGGCTGTTTCTCTCTGTTTCTTTAAAGCTGCATTTGCCTCTTAAGTCTTTAGTAGCTCTTTGGGCTGTTGGAGCAAATTTGGGGCAAGGTCGCTTTTGCTTGTGGAGGTAAAGGATATGCTTCCCTGGCATACTTTTTTTTTTTTTTTTTGGAAGGAGTATCTTCTGAATCCTACTGTATCTTCACCTGATAGGACTAAAACCATTGCAAATGTCATTAGCTGGCTGATAGATCGTGATTGTCTATGTGGTTGTAAACTATGGGACAGCAAGCAATAATCTATGGGATGGAACTGGATAGAGCATAGGGGTGTTTAATTTTAAATGGGTCTGTATGAATGTTAAGAGGCTGCTGGATGCACAGTCAGACCATTGAGCTATCTTTCCCAGCAATGTCTATTGCGTTGGGCAAGTATTCTCCAGGGTCTCAGACTGAGATCCATCATTATATTGAGAGATGACAAGCACAGAATCTGGATCTTTCTCCTTCTATTGCTTCCTCCTAGTAAATAATACAAATCTTGGGGCATTTTCATATACCAAGTTGTGTATACAGAGCTCCCAGTGACATTGAAGAAAATAGAAAACTTCCATAGATAATTTAGAATCGGTAAACGATTATATGCACTATTAAGTACCACCTATTCTTCAATTCCTTGAGCTGCTCTATTATGGAATTACAATGGGGGATCATATACTGAATTTATATCCCATTCTGGGAGAATCAATATCTATAAATGTAATTTATCTTAGAATCCGCTCATAGCAAGAAACAGCAATGTCTGGTGTTATTTTGAAGCTATATATTCAATATATTTCATTTTGGGAAAAGAAGGCAAAGGCTGTTGATAAAATAACTGTGAATGCTTCTTTTATTTCCTGCCAAGTTTGTTTCATATGTGTATAAGTGGTGAATTAATGCTATCTTTCACTGAAAAGGAGCTCTTCAGACAATAAAAGTCCTTGAGCTCTGATTTTTATAATGATTAGATTTTGTTTTTAAATGGAATTCTGTCCAATAAGAAATGTCTTACTCAAGCCTCATTTCCCCAGTACTTATAAAGAAAAAGTTTGGTGTTGTTTTGCTCTACTCCCTGCCCCACAAAAACAAAAGTATGATATATAAAAAAAAAACCCAGAGGCCCAACTGAACCAGATGCATTAAAATCCATATTAATACCATACAGGTTTGAAAAACATTTCTCAAATTGTCCATTCATACTGATAAAAAAATACAAAAATATAAAATTGCTGTACACCAAACATACAGAAAGCATTAAATGCAATGGGAATATTCCAGCCCAGGTTAAAACATGTTTATGTTCCATGAGGTTCAGGGAGAGCCTAAAAAAGCCTTACATGGGCTTAATTTTTAAAGAAGTAAGTTTGGCTGAATCAAGGAAATAAAGGTACCTCTGATTGACTCTCTACTACAGGTAGTCCTTGAGTTACGACCACAATTGAGCCCAACATTTATGTTGCTAAGTGAAACATTTAAGTGAGTTTTGCCTCATGACATTTCTCACCACAGTTGCTAAGTGAATCATTGCAGTTGTTAACTTTGTAACACGGTTTTAAGTGAATCTGGCTTCCCCATTGACTTTGCTTATCAGAAGGTCCAAAAGTGATCACATGACATGACTGCAACCGTCACAAATGTGAACCACTTGCCGAACATCTGAATTTTGATCACCTGACCATGGGGATGCTGAAATGGTCGTAAGTGGGAACAATGGTCAAAATCACTTTTTCAGTGCTATTGTAACTTTGAATGGTCACTAAATGAACTGTGTATGTCAAGGACTACCTGTACTGTGGTGGGGGGTTGCGTAGCACCCTGGCAATCTTAAATTGCAATTGCTTTCTCTAGTTTTGTTTTATTGCTTTTATGAAATGTAAGCAGAAGTAGTAAGTTTCACAGGATAGAGTACTCCATTCCCCTTGGTTTCTCATCAGGTTTTAATTAAGTCAGCCAGGTGCTGCCACCTGCTGCAGATACTGAGCAATAGGAAGTGATGATTGAAGCTATTGTATGTTGCTTCTTACGTCTAATGAGATTCCACACCAGTTTAAAAGAGGATGGTTTAATGTTTTATTTCACTGTTTTCAGGTAAACTCTCCTTTGAGTTGAGCGAAAGTTGGTGCCTTCACAGTCATGTTGGTTTGGATCGGTCAAAAAAGAATCATCTCTCTCTCTCAATTTTGGGGCATCAGTGTGGATGCATTTATGATCACAATGTTTCTTATATTTCAAGGCTAGCCTACAGCACTTGTACTTCTGAATGGTTCCTTATCCAAATACTAACAAGATTTGATCCTGCTTAGTTTTTTTTAGGATGAACAATGCCAGGCAGTGCAATCCAAACATTTGCAGGGTTGTGATTGAGGAGTTTGTCTGGGGAGGTCCAGATTTAAGTACTTCAGCCCTGGACACTTACTAATTTGAACCAATCACCATCTCTCAGGCTATCCAACTTGATAGGATTATTGTCATAGGAAAAAATGGAAGTGTTGTGTATGCTGTTTTTATTTCCTGGAGGAACGTTAAGCTACAGGTCAAATAAATGAAACCATGAGAGAGAGAGGGGGGGGAGGGAGAGGGAGAGGGAGGAAGGGAGGGAGAGAACCTTTGACTTCAGTGGTTGAAAAGCTAATGCAGAAAAATATTGATAGAATGCAATAAAAAAGAAGTACAATTGAAATGAAGTCTGTCTTAAATAAGGATTCTTTTTTTTTTCCAAGTATAAATTTTTATTATTTTCATCATAAAAAAAAAAACACATCACAAATACATCACAATGCTATAATAAAAAACCCCACCCCCCACCCCCCACCCCCGGACTTCCCAAACCTAATCCCAGGATACTATTCAAATAAAAGTAAACTACTATTAATATCCCTAACTCCACAAAATATTATTCTACATAAGTAGGTGAAATATGTAAAAAAAGAAGCAAGTTATCTAAAAGCATAAGTTATATTCCACCATTCTATGCTTTTTTTGAATATAAACAATCCATCTTCTCCATATTGATAAAAATTGTTCATTTGAATGATTCTTCAAATAAGCCGAAATTTTTGCCATTTCAGCAAGATACGAAACCTTCAATCTCCAGTCCTGTCTTAAATAAGGATTCTGTTCAGCCAAAGGTCTCTCAGACTGGTGACCAAAGCGTAGACAGCAGAAATTCAGCAGATATCCTTCTACAGACATAAGATAACCAAATGTTCAGCCACTAAATCTAATTTCTGTACATTTTTACAGAACTAGCAAGTACAAAATGTTAACAATTGCTCTACCTTAAGTTCCACATATAGGCTGACAAATCTGGGCCAACCCCCCACATGAGGAGTTGATAGAATAGGACACATTTAAATCCATGGCTCAAGGCAAAGAGTTCTAGTATTTGTAGCAAAGTTCAGAGGGAAGAAGTACTCTCCTAGTTCTTTGCATTTTCATTGGGCTAAATATGAAGCCACGACTACTGGTTGGTACTAAATTGACTTGGAAGTCAATTCTTGGACGCTACGGATTTTACACAGTCATAAAATACTTTGGTGTATCCAGTAGTAAAAACAGAGATCATTTCAAAAGTAATGTAGGCCAGGCTGTGATAAATATAGTTTATCATTTGAATAAACTAGACAAAGCCTTTAATCCCACAAACATTGGTCCTGTGCCCAGTCCAAGGGACTGGTGCTCCTTGGATTGAATATCATTAGTCCAACTCCTTGGGCAATTTTCCAAAGCATATTTCCAAACAGAGCACTACTCCCAAGGTATTCTCCCTAGTAACCTCTCTCTTCTCTCTACTTCCTGCACTCAGCTGGGAAATGGTGATTCTCTCATGGATTAATCTTCAAGTTGATGATTCTCTTGTCTTTGGGACAGGACTTGCCAACAAAGCAAGACATTAGGCTTCCATTTTTCCAGGTTGTGGGAAGAAGATATATCACCATAGCAAGTTCTGTTCTAAACAAATGAACGTTCACTATTCTGTATAAGTGCACCCACAAATAGACACCTGTCTATTGCCATGATAGAGTGAAGATGACATTAGATCAGGCAGAAGGCTATTGATGGATAGCTATCGATGATAGCTAATGATCATTGATGGCCAACTACTCTCTGCATTATCTCAGGTCAACAGCTGGACCATCTTTTCTTCATCCTCTGTCATCTTTCCCACCTCCCTGCTACCTTATAGAATGGAAATGGCTGGAAGCCCTCTCTTCCCATGAAACTTCCTTTGCAAACTGGACTTGAACTGGACTGGCTTTCAAACAGAGTGATGCGGTTATGAGATAGAGGACTGCTCACCTAATTCCTGATTTCTGAGTTTTTCTGGAGGTTGATCATAAGTACAGCTGTTATGTACAAGGCTCTTTTCAAGCTATTATAATGAATAAACTTATCAAAATAGAATTATAGTTCTATAATATAAGTATTCACTCAGTGAGATTGATTAGTTAACAAATGACCCAAGGAACTGTGGTCCAGCAATTGTTCCTTCAGGCTAGAGAAGTAAATAGAGAAACTGAACAGTCTGGTATTTATACATATGACATAAAAAAAATGCCAATATTGGGGATTCAGGTTTGTTTTCATCCACAGTCCTCTTCCTGTTTTTCCTTTGTGTGTGTGTGTGTGTGTGTTTTAAGATTGGAAACTTAAGACACAAAGCCTATTTTTAAAAATTGCTTTATCCACTCGAAACCTTTTCAAAAGTGTATCAGGGCTTTTAAATGAATAAGAAACTTTCTTCTTCCCACTTTCTTCTTCCCTCAACATTATAATTTGGTGGTTCTTGTTTGCTTTTAACAGCGTTGACAAGGAAAGAAACCAGAGCAGATTAATTGTTTATTAACTATTGGTTGTGATAGCTGAACTGAATCTCTGTCACCAGAACAGTTATATCTCCCTGAGTATCCGGCAAAAAATAGTGGTTTGGGGATAATCAAGTTTATGTCCTGCTGGTAAGCTCCCATTTGTTGGCTATAGCCGGAAGTAGAATGGGTGCCAAACTGGATTTTTGCCTGGAGGCAATTACAATGTTCTTACATAATGTAGAAAAGTGAATGCCAGAATTTACAGATTTGCCTTGGCACTTGCCCAGCCCTTGGCAGCTGTCATCAAAAGAAAACTAGGTTTCAGGATGTGTTTGCAATTCTAAACAGAGGATGCTTTATCTGTTTTAGTAAATTCAGGCATTCTTCTGCGGTCTGTGTGAAAAAACCCCAAACCGAAGCATATAATCAATGTTGAAAAAAGTAGTTTTTTAATATTTTTTTTAAAAATCACAAGGCTGTGATTGAAAGGGGCAAAAAAAGATACTCGAAGGAATATGGACTGTGTTGGTCATTGGCATCCAATCTGTATTTATTTCACAAGGGTGGAGCAGTGACATTGGCTTTCGTTTGAAGATCAGGAGAAAACTTGCAAAAGTTCAGAATTCAATTAATAGAATGTAATTTTTAAAAACGAGGCCACCAAAGGAAAGAAGTCTCCTTTAAACAGAATTGTCATTCGTGTTATTGTGATGATAACAGTGCAGATGTGATTGCCCTTAGCTTTATTATTTGAACACTAGGCCCTATCTAACAAAATGAAATTCAGTGTAGAAAAAGGTAGGGCTTTACACTTAGGCAAGAAAAATATATAGGTACAGACTAAGTAAAACTTAACGCAGAAACTGCAAGAGGGATCTCGGAATCCTAGTGGACAGTCGCTTAAATATAAACCAGCAAAGTGCTTCAGCTGCCAAAAACATCAATGCAATCCTAGGCTACATTAACAGGGGGATAGAATCAAGATCACAAAAAAGTGATATTACTGTTGTATAATGTATTATTAATGGAATACTGCATCCAGTTTTGGTCACCACAATATAAACAACTCTGGAAAGACTGCAGAGAAGAGGGATAAAGATGATTGGGGGGGCTGAAGAACAGTTGCAGGAATTGGATATGTATAGTCTAGTGAAAAGAAAACTAGGGGTGACATGATAGCAGTGTTCCAATATTTGAGGGGCTGCCACAAAGAAGAGGGGGGGTCAACCTATTCTCCAAAGCAACTGAAGGCAGGACAAGAAGCAATGGATGGAAACTGAACAAAGAGAGAAGCAACCTGGAACTAAGGAGAAATTACAGCAAGAACAATCAACCAGTGGAACAACTTGTCTTCAGAAGTTGTGGGTGCTCCAATGCTGGAGGCTTTTAAGAAGGGACTGGACATTTGTCTAAAATGGCATAGAGTCTCCTGCTTGAGCAGGGGGTTGGACTAGAAGACCTTCAAGGTTCCTTTCAACTCTGTTATTCTGTATTCTATTCTGAAATGTATTTTTTTCAGTTAATTAGTTATACCATAATTCCCTGGTTGTTCTCTCTGACCCAAGTACTAACTAGGACCAGCTCTGCTTAGCTTCTTCATCCAGAGAAGGTTGTCTAAAAAAGAAATAATAACTCTTTGTACAATACTGGAGTGTTTTAAGTTTGAAAGATATAACATCTTTAGTTTTTAATTAGATATATTATGACAAAATTTCAGGCTAACTAATACAACGGAAGGTTATTGTATATGACAGTTGCTTGCAGTTGACAGGCAGAGATGATAAAATTTGTCATAATGGTCAGTGACAAATATCTGAGATCTTACGTAGTAGTAAATATTTTCTAGTATCTTACCATTTGTGGGACACCAGTTTTTGTGTGATAGATCTTGTGAATTTTTTATTTTTAGCATAGTATGATGGTTTCAAAATATGATTTAATTCAGTGTGTTAATCCAGCCAAATCATAGTGATAAAGGATGACTTAGTACTTGAGGGCACCATCATTGTATTAAATTGTAATAAATTGTAATAAATCTATATAAATAAAAATGTAATTGTTCGTTTGTTCAAAATCTTAAATCTCCTAAAGTTCTTCACCGATTGCTTTGAAATTTTGACACAGCGTTGCATTCGAATACGCGCGTGTTTTTATATACCTATTATATAGATGTCACACCTGTGACAGGTAAAACATGCTTTTTTGAAAAACAGCGCCATCTGTTGGACATAAAAGCAACACATGCTACGTTACAAACGTGCGCTTTCTCTTTTCTTTCTTTTCCATTTAACCAGACTGAGCCACAGCAACACGTGGCCGGGTACAGCTAGTAAATAAATAAAATACAAACTTTAAAAATGCTTTAATTTTATTTTATTAGTTATTGGACATCTCAGTCAAGTGGACAGTCCAAGAAACTCTTCCTCCAAAGTATCTCCATTATGATCCTATCACCTCCCATCGGCTGATGTGTGACCAGTGTCCTCCAGGAACTTACGTCAAACAGCATTGTACAGCCTCAGCAAAGACGGAATGTGCCCCTTGTCCAGATCAGTCTTATGCAGATGAATGGAACAATAATGAGAAATGTCACTACTGCAATGTGGTATGCAAGGAACTGCAGTATGAAAAAATCAAATGCACCAGCACCGGAAACCGTGTCTGTGAGTGTGTAGAAGGACGGTACCTCAAACTTGAATTCTGTTTGAAGCACGCAGCATGTCCTCCTGGAGTTGGCGTTGTTCAAAAAGGTATGTATGTCTTTATTTTCAAGGGATGATTTCAAGATTGTTCAACTATCAAAAGCTGTTTCAAGGTCGATTAGGGTGAGTAAAAATCTTTTCCAGGCAATTAGATGGAAAAGTTACTGCTCCCAACCTGCCAGGTGTTATGATAAAAGAGTAAACTCTGGTTTATCCGATCCCAAAGATAAAAACAAAACAAAAGCAGAGAGTGATCTAATTGAGGCAGAATTTATTGAAAAGACAGTATGCTAGAATGGCTAGCAGTTGGGATTGAACATCATGCTAAGTGAATAACCACATAGGATGGACAAATATATTAACTGCATTTGATTTTATCGTATTTTAAATTACATTATAATTATTCTGTTTCTATTAATCAAAGAATAGCATTGTACAAAGAATAAAGAATGATCAAAGAGAGAAGCAACCTGGAAATAAGGAGAAACCTCCTAACAGTGGACAATTAACCAGTGGAACAGCTTGCCTTCAGAAATCGTGGGTGCTCCATCACTGGAGATTTTTAAAAAGAGGCTAGACAGTCACTTGCTGAAATGGTATAGGTTCTCCTGCTTGAGCAGGGGGATGGACTAGAACAGTGGTTCTTAACCTTTTTGACCGAATCGCCCCCTTGAGCCAATGAGGAAGTTGTCATCGCCCCCCTCCCCCAACATAACCTCTCAATCACAACATAGGAAATAATTCTTCAATTTATGCAAACACTTTTTTTGTTTTCTTTAAAATTGTCATCAGGACATATCAATGCAAATAATTTATTTCCAGTCTTTTTCCCATATCTCAACTGTGTGAAAAATTTT